TGCAGAGTTCTGGACCAACTGAAGGCGGTCTAGGGTAGGGATGGACAATATATCGGCATCAATATTGGTGTTGGCTGATGTTAGTCTTTTTTTAACATATCGGTATCGGTCCGATAAATAAAACCGGGTCGATATTAACAACCGATATTTTTTCTTGTTTCCATTTGTTTATCTGTTTAAGAGGGTAAGGGGGGTCATGTGTATTTGTTTGGTCATGTGATAGTGATTATAATCATCTCAGAAGCGTAAATGTGTGTGGTGTGTGTACATAATAATGTAAATTCAGCTTTAATAATTTTCATTCCATACAAAATCTGCTGATTTTAGAAGCATTAATGTCAATATATCGGTATCGGCAAATATCGGTAATCGGCCATAACAGCGATCTTAATATCGGTATCGGCTCAAAAATTTCATATCATTACATCACTAGTCAAGGTTTTTTTTTGTTATAGTATCTTTCCGGAGTTTTCCCCTTTCAGAAATTATGTATGATTTGTCAGAAATCCGTAAAAGTGTTTATCTTATCATGTACTGTGATATACAGTAATGTAAGCAACACATATTTTTTTTTCTTTGCTATACACACATCCCCTGCCCTGCAGAACTCCGTGCAATAGGAAACTGAGCGCCGACCAGAACTAACCAATAACGTTAGACTAACGCTTACTTGTTTCAAATTTAAAGAATACCTCAGCTGATGCAGAGTTATAAACTTTTCATGGACAAGTAAGTCTCTAAAATATAAATATACGAGAATTCAACATGACATGACAATAACACTCGTAAAACATGTTTTAGCTCTGTTTGTCGGCTACAGAAGCACATTTTTAAATAAACGTGAAGTCGCCATCTTTAAAAAAATGGAAGAAGTTTGATATGCTTGTCAGCCACTAGATGGTGCCATCGGATAAGAGAAATACTCCGGAAAGAAGCTTTAAAACATGAAAATTGTGTACGGGAAGATCTTTCTTCCGGCACTTGCAGAGTACAGACGCTTCTGCTTTTGCTCCCTTATCTTTTTTTCCCAAGGCTCTTTGTCCTGGCTGCCCACAGAGCACTTCTCTGCATTTCTTCTGAAAAACCCTATTTTTTAGAATGGATTTAATTAATTGGTCATTCAACGCGATTGACAAGATTTTTTCTACAACGAGAACGGAGGAGGGGGCTCCCACTTGCCCGCCGCAAGGGACACGCGCAGCGGGATATATGCTCGATTCCTGGAGGCAGTGGAAGATCATATGCCTCTCAGTTGTCCATTGAGGATGTCGAAGATGTGTGGATATTTGGCCTGATGATCACTGGATTTCTTCTGATTGGAGTGGGAGGATATCTGGTTTTCTGGAAATTTGGGAAGACGTGAGCGATTGGAGGGCGACCCGCACCCACGGAAAGCACCGTCCGTGTGGAGACCTCTCAGACTGGGACGTTGCTCGAGGTGAATCGTAAGCTGGACAATGTTCTAGCTGCGATACCGGTATTAGTGCGCAAAATGGATGTCATCTCGGAGAGGGTCACTGGACGGTGTGGAGATGTTTAGAACCTGAATTGGCTTCACTGGAGGACTTGAATGATCAGTTACAGACTTCAAGGCAGAGAGAAAAATTATCTCTGCCTGACCCAAACAAAGTCTTGTTATCCGAATCTGACGCCATGGCAGCCTTGTGAATGCCAACAACAAACCCCCACGAAGGAATGCAGACAGATGCTGTGAAAACCCGACATACCCCCCCCCCGCCTTCGGATTGGTGGACTTCAGCCTGGCGAGGTCATCAACCTGCAGGTGTCCATGTGCTCTGCGCTCCTCCCAAGATCTCCCTCCCACCTGTGGCTACAGTGGCTGAGCGCCATAGGGCTGCTCTCTCTGGGGAAACAGGATCCCAGCCCCCCCCCCCCCCCCCCCCCCTCCTTCCTCTCAGTGTGTCATGTTGTGATTTGTTGATGTTCGTGCTTATATTTTTGAGGCATTTTTTTGCATAGTAAAGCTACGCCCTGCTGGGAGTAACTCTGGTATGCCTTTTTTTCCCTCCCCCAATTTATCCTCATGTGATCCCCTTTTCATCTAATTAACAGTAGCGTGACTGAAACAATTGCCCCTCAGGGATGATTAAAGTTTTTTTTTTATTTGAATTTGAATTTGAATAAAGGCATTGATAACCAGTTTAAGCTCATGTTTTGACACCAACCTTCGCAGTTTGGAGATATTTCTTAAGCGATAAGAACAATTTTGGACCAATGTTTTTGAGTACTCATTTGAAAATAGCGCTCCCAGGGATTTTTGATCCTAATGGCCATCCGTTGGTAAGGTCTTACTCAAACACAAAAATACCCCTTGCTTGCAATGATTTAGGTATGTACCGCCCTCTAACGCCTGGGAAAATACACATTGTTACTTTAAAGTGGCAGTGTGTAGTTTCCTGCTGAAAGGGGGCAGTACATACGTTGCTATAACTGTCACTATTTAAAAAAAACATTACGATAAATGTTGTTACCAGTGGAGCAGAAAGCATGTAACCTCGGCAAAGTATTTTTGAATTGAATTGAATGACTCCTCGAACGCTCCCATAGAGAGAATGCTATGCCGATTGTGGTTTTCTGGCACTGTAGTTGACGGTTCTGCTCAGGGGTCCTGCGCCTGCTGATGACGACATCATACTACGGCAATACCACTCGGCCAAAATATATAGCTTTTTTCCCCCAATTGTGTTCTTTCACATATGTTTTGTGTTTCTCACTCTGAAAATATTTTTGAACGTGGTAACGTAACTTCCATAAGTCTTACGTCCAGCCAGTCATCGAGTTATCGACAGGCGCAGGACCCCGAGCCGGCTAGAAGGAAACATGGCGTCTAATATGGCGCCCCCCCAAAGATGCTAGACCCGTGCCCTATGTACTTTAGACCCAATTTTTATTTTTATATGTTAAAAAGCAGCAAATGTTTTTCAACAACTGGACATAATTTTGTTCATTTTTAACAATGTTTTGATGGATCTTTCCAGAGATTAAAGGTAAAAACTACAAATTGCTTCTAAGTTTTGCATCAAAGGGAAAATTTTTGTGAGAGTTTCCTAAAAGTAACAAATTGGTTTATTGGAAACTCAGAGATCTGACGTTTGATTTAAAGTTCCAACTTCCCACTTTTGAAGGACATTGAATGAAACATTTGAGTAAATGTAGTAAAGTAGTAGATTTTTATACAAAACTGCTAATTGAATCCCGACAATACTGTTTTCAGCATTCAGGGTATTCAGCTCTGAAATGTTGTGTACTCACTGTTTAGAGTTCAAGAAGGCATAAAAGGAAGTTTGATTCAGCATTGGACTGTTTATCTAAGCTGTGCTGAATCTTGGGTCTTCACTCTGTCCTGCACGACGGATTTCTGAGGTCAGAGCTGAGTTTTGTGTCCTGCAGGAAAGAATCATTTCTGGTAGGTTTGATGGGTTTTAATGTTGATTACACAGGAAGTGTTAAAACATGGCATGGAGTACTCAGAGCTGCTTAACATCATGAGTTTGAGCTGTTCCTGTTCAGGGTATCCACGGGTCCTTAAAAAGTCTTAAATTAGCTTTTCCAAATTTAAGGCCTTAAAAATCCTTAAAAATGACAAATAATCCTTAAATACAGTTTCCAGAGGTCTTAAATTACCAAAGACCCAATAAACAAGATTCTTTTATTTCTATAAAATTTTCGTGAATTTCTAGTTAGTGTTCAGCATTTTTTGTTTATGATATTGGCATAAGCAGAACCGTACACATTCAGTTGGTTGTGTAAGGGGGCTATTTTTAGATGAGCACGTTAGCTGGTTAAGCTAGTGGGAGTTTGCACCATGGGGAAGTGGAAGTTTAATGGTAAATGGATGTCTAATCCCACAATCGCGGCGTGGTTAGCACCGGTTCCATGCAATAGCTGGAAATTATACCTTAAATTTAATTTTTCAAAATGATAAATGACCTGTACTTGTATAGTGCCTCTCAGAGTAAAGACCCCAAAGTGCTTTACACTACAGTGTATCAGTGATCCATTCACACACACATTCAGACACTGATGGTGATGAGCTACGATGTAGCCACAGCTGCCCTGGGGCGCACTGACAGAGTCGAGGCTTCCGAGCACTGGTGCCACCGGTGCCTCCGACCATCACCAGCAGGCAACGTGGGTTAAGTGTCTTGCCCAAGGACACAACAGCAGAATTATCTGTCCGGAGCCGGGATTGAACCTGCAACCTTCCGATTACTGGACAACCCGCTCAACCTGTTGAGCTACTGCTGCCCTACTTAAATAGCTTAAATTTGGTCAAAGTGGCCTTAAAAAAGGTCTTAAAAAGTCTTAAATTAGGTTCCCTTAAACCTGCAGATACCCTGCTGTTTCTCCGTGTTTATTTATAAATCATTTCTGCTCTGAGTTAAACTAACTAGATAATCTTAATCAGCTGCAGGTGGAGACTGGTAATCTCATCTCTGCAGCACAGATTAAAACACAACAAATGTCCGACACGTTGGAAGTCTTGAGAATGTCTTCTCTCAGCATCAGATGACTCGTGACCCCCATGCCCTGGGGTTTTTGCCTCAGGAAGGGTTCGCTGCAAGTTCCCTGTACACCTGCACAGTAGCCATGGCAACATTTGCGTCTGCGCCACAATCCTGGTGTCCAGAATAGATCCATCCTTATCACAACCTCCCGCTGACTGAGCAGAGTGGGAGAAAGACAGGGATCAGAAAGCAGATCTCTTATCTCACGCGCGATCCAGGTCACGCCGCAGTGAGGAGAAAAAGCACAACTAATTGACGTGTGAGGCTATTGTTTCCAGTTTGAGAGCAAATGCATGTGAGAATAGGTCATATGATGTCAGGGCTGACACTTTAGGACCAGAGCACCCTCTAGTGTTGGAGTTAAAGCTGAATAAGTCATTCAGAAATGTTTTTGTCCCTCTTGTCCAATGTCCTCATGGTCAAAGCATTGCCATGTTTTAGTCATTAGCTTGTTTTGTTGTGCATCTGCAGCCTGAGTCTCCCACTGCTTCACCTCACCACGGCCTCCCACGCCCACAAGAGGAAGACGATGGCGACCTGAATAAAGCTTTGGGCGTTCAGCGCTTCCAGCAGATCCTCCACCCTGCTGCTTCCTTACCTGATGAGCAACACCACTCCTACCATGAGGAGGACATTGAATGTAAGCACCAACATGGTTTCCCCCCATGAGGACGCATATTAAAGACTAAAGTGCTTTGATGTGTTTTTGTAGACCACCGTCACTCGTCTCGCCACATCCACCGGCCTCTTTCCAAACTACCCGCCGAGGGACGACGGAAGAAGAGCAGCAAGAAAAGAAAGAAAGACAAAGATCACAAAAGCAGCCGTGCTCCCAGCAGCGGCCCGATAGAGGAGGGCGAGTATGAAGAGGAAGAGGAGGATGAAGGGACAGAAGGAACGCCGGCTTCATCAGAGTCAGCCAGAGTCAAAGACGTGGAGGTAGTCCTAGACAAATCTAACTGTATCTAACATTATTGCTGCTGCTCAGAAACGCAAGCTGGACAACTCTAAATATTTAATAACTTGAATCGTTCATCTGTCGATAATTTATTAGTTTTATGATACTTAGCTAATCAAGGCTGAATTCAGCCTGTTGCCTTTTGCTGTCAGATGATCAACAGAAACACAAAAACAAGATTTATTAGACTAACAAATTAACAAGCTCCATTTTCCTGTCTAAAAGAAAATCCCGTTTCCTGTTATTATTCGTCCTCCTTCTCAGTTCTTCCTGTCAGATGATGACCAAGTGTCCAGACGAGGGACAGAGATCCCATATTTGTCCCGAGAGCTGAGCATCGTTCCTCAGGTTGCTTTGAGAACAGAAGCTGAAGATGCATCTTCCTCTGAGTGAGTTTGTTTTCCCTTAAATGTTGTCAGAGTTTTATTGTGACACGTGGAACCGGCTCGGCTTCTTGCTTGTTCAGACTGTGCGGCGCAGGCTGTACGTTACCATGTCTCAGGCATCCAGGCAGCATGCTGCGTCTGATCTGATGGTCCGGACTAATCCTGTCCTCAGAGATCCATAATTCACCTGTCGCTATAGGCAACCGGCTCCTCCTCATTACACTGACTTTTCCACTTGACGAAGCTTTAATCTGAGCTGCATCAACATCTTTAGTGTCTCTTTAGGCTGGAGAGTTTTGATTGGATCCGTAAGTGAGGGACAAAGTAGATCCAGGGAAGTGTTTTTTGTTCATGTGTTAATTTTGTTTTGTAGTAAACTCGACTCACCCAGCACTCCCAGTCCGGTCCCGCTGTCGCCTTCAACTGAGCACCCACCCCTGACTCGGGTGTCCTCTGCCAGCCGCAGCTACGACCTGCAGGAGCGCCGTCGCACGGGCAACATGACGGGCGCCGAGCAAGCCAAGTACCAACAAATCCCCACGGACGAGAGCGAAGCTCTGACCCTGGCCTCCGCAGACCTGGATGGCATCAAAAGTGAGTAACAACAACTCGTCGTATGTGAATATTTGACATTTTTAGCTTGTTTTCATCATTTTATTCCATTAAATATCAGTCAGAGTTAAACTAGAGCAGAGGGAGGAAATGATGCAAAGAGTAAGGAAGAAAATAAAATCAGGCTGTTCTTTTTACTAATCATTTATTCCAATTTTAAAACAACATTTATTCATGTTTACAACAACAAGCCTCTGTGTGGGCCTCCCTGTGCTGACGCTATCGGCCCCCAGCCCAGCGTGGGCCCATGTTCAGTAGCCGAGGTGATTTACGTCAAAACGCCGACCTCTCAGCGAAGAGCAGCGACTTATTACAAGTGTTTATTAAATTAGACGTCCCTGTCGTCAGCCGAGGCTCCTGGACTCGATCCAACATGGTGGCTGGTCTCTGATCTGATTGCTGAGGAAAATCTAAATGGACTTAAACACCAAATGAAGGCTTTGATGCTGAAGTTTGTGAACAGCTTCATCATCATCTTTTATCTGCTTCATTCCACCTTAAATCATCCTGGGAACCAGTCCGTCTCTCCGGCTGCTGCTCCACTATTCAGTCGTGGTCTCTTAGCTTTGGCTCATCCCGGCTGAGTTAACGCCTCTGGTGCAGGTCGAGGGACATCATTCATGTGAAGTTTATTGAGAAGCAACTCGAGTCTGGTCAGACCTGAAAATGGTGAAGGAGACTCAGGTGTGAAAGCAGAAGGACTGTTGGGTTCTCATGAGCCTTTTAGCTTTTCGCGATCACAAGAAGACACGGAAGAGCTGGCCCAAGTGGCTGGGGAGAGGGAAGTCTGGGCCTCTTGACTTAGGCTACTGCCCCCACGACCCGACTCCGGATAAACGGATGAAAATGGATGGATGGAAGAAGTCATTTTCTACAGAAACCTTTATCCCTCGTTTCTTTTCTAGGACCAAGTGTTTTCTGTCCCTGACAGGTCAGAGGCATCAGCAGATCTCTGCTCTGGTTTGAACTGGTGACTGAACAGTTTCTGCTCAGTCTTGGTTCCTGCGTCCTATTAATGGCTGCCAGCATGAGTAACTGTAGTCCCGGCTGGGGAACCTAGGGACAAAAAGGCTGGGGCCTCGATCAAGGTGGACAAAGTCCTCAGCCTCAGAAGCCTCAAGCTGCGTTTTAGGGAACGATGAGTTATATGAGCTGTAACTGTCCTCTTGTTTTGTCCTCAGGTCACCGTTTTGAGGATGTTCCCGGCGTGCGCAGACACCTGGTCAGAAAGAGCACCAAGGGACAGAAGGTGCACATCGGCAAAGATCACAAAGAGCAGACGACTCGCAGTCGGAAGCAGGACCGAACCCCGCATGAGGTGAGAGGTCACGGCGTTGTCCAGCAAGGGTTTCCTTTACATTAAAACAGCTTTAACTGGAGTGTTCTGGATGTTTTTGTTTATTATGATCTAAATAAAAAAGTAGAATTACAGTAACAACATGTTGGGGACCCAATATTTAAAAACAAACGAAACAATGATTTATAAAAAATAATTCACTGGTTTTATCTCCAGTTTGGAGAAATAGGAATTTTATTTTTCAAAAATAAAAGTTTTTGTGATTTATTTATTTATCTTTAAAGACTTTATTTAAATATTAGTTATAAAATTGAATAAAGTTGAAATTATGGAAGTTTTCCTCTTTTTCCAAATATTTACTTACCCCAAAAATATCATTTGAAAAGTTGCGACTGCCCAAACAAACATTCTGTAAAATTGTGCAAAAATACATAAAATGATTCTTTATTAGAAAAAAAAAAGACCTATTTGAATTTAAAACCAGTGAGCTTATTTATTATCCTGCTTCATGGTTTTTGCCTCTAAAGTAAATAGAAGTTGTAGCAACCGTTTTCTCGTCTCCCCGTGTCGGTTTGCTTTCGCACGCGTTTGTTGATGCGACGGGGAAGAAAAGAGTCGATTAAAAATGAATGAATGAGTTCTTTCCTTTCACACGCCGAAAGGGAAGAGGGGAGAGAAGCTGGTGGGTAACCAGACACGGGCCGCTCCTGAGGGAAAAAGAAGGGAGCCATCTTTTATTAACACACACACACATTCTCATACACAGTTCAGAACCCCAAGCAACGCCAGTAGACAACAGGTTCCTGTTAGGTGTGTGTGTGTGTGTGTGTGTGTGTGTGTGTGTGTGTGTGTGTGTGTTTGTGTGTAATGAGGGAGTAGGCTCTGGTTGTGTGGGTGTTTGAGCGTTCTCCTGCACCGTTTGGCTCCTGCAGTCGTTACCGGTGGTTCTGTACCGCTCTCCCTCACGACCAGAAGGCATCCTGCTGGAGTCGGCTCTAATGGCTCGGTACCAGAAGGTGAGGCTGAGCATCCGGCCCGAGTCAGGAGTCAGGTTTGACCCGTGTGAGCGTGATTTCACCAGCATGAGTGGCACAAGGAGGCATGGTGTTGGATTAACCCCCATTTAACAAACGCTGAGACACCAAGACTTAATAGCTACTTGTTGTTTTAGTTCTGTTCACAAACACAAAGTTTTACACCGTTACCATGGCCACCAACAAGTTTAACACGATTTAAAACCGCTAAACTGAGCCGGAGTCACAGATTTAAAGGCAGCATTAATGAACGAGTAATAAACGACGCTTTCGTTAGAGTCTAAACATCTTGCTTGGTTTGTTCTTCACGTGGGTTTGATGTCAGAGTCCCTGCCTAACTCCCAGATCCGTCGCAGTGGTTCTGTGTCACGTGTGAACGTTCACGTCCTCCTCCAGGTGTTCGTGGAGCTGAACGAGCTGACCATCGACAAGAACCAGGAGATGCAGTGGAAGGAGACGGCTCGTTGGATCAAGTTTGAGGAGGACGTGGAGGAGGAGACGGACCGCTGGGGGAAGCCTCACGTGGCTTCCTTGTCTTTCCGCAGCTTGCTGGAGCTCAGACGGACCATCTCCCACGGTGAAGCAGCTGCTATCTACACCAGCAGAGTCCTTTCTGTGGTTCGTAACTGACCCAGCTCTGCGTGTGTTTATAGGAGCGGTTCTGCTGGACTTGGACCAGAAGACCCTGCCTGGCATCGCCCACCAGGTGGTGGAGCAGATGATCATTTCTGACCAGATCAAAGCCGAGGACCGATCCAACGTCCTGAGAGCTCTGCTGCTTAAACACAGGTGAGCCACATCTGGACCTTCTGAACCCTGTGTGGACGTCCTAAAAAGTAAATTAATAATAAATTAAATAATGCCTCCTCTCCTCCTCCTGCTCCTCCTCCTCCTCCTCCTCCTCTTCTGACCTCCCAAAGTCACCCGAGCGATGAGAAGGAGCACACCAGCCATTTCCCCAGAAACATCTCAGCAGCCAGCCTGGGCAGCCTGATGGCGTACCACCACAACGTGAACCACAACCACCAGCTGGAGCCGTCGGTGACCGACCCCCTCATGGGCACCATCAACTCCACGGTGGACAACGACACGCGGATCGACATGGAGAAGAACGAGCTACAGGTGCGTCTGACTTTTAAAAAGTTTACCAACATTCACCCTGACGGGTTTTCTTCATGACTCTGGTTGTGCGTTTCCTGTGTGAGCAGAGGGAGCCGAGCCTGGGGCTCGGCATGCACCGGTCCAAGTCCAAACATGAGCTGAAGCTGCTGGAGAAGATTCCAGAGAATGCCGAGGCCACTGTGGTCCTTGTTGGTGAGTCAGCGTAAACCTGGATCGTTTTTCCAATCCTAATCTTTTTTAATGACGGTGATCTTCCAGGTTGTGTGGACTTCCTGGAGCAGTCCACCATGGCGTTTGTGAGGCTGCAGGAGGCGGTGGAGCTGGAGTCGGTTCTGGAAGTGCCCGTTCCTGTCAGGTTCCTCTTTGTTCTTCTGGGACCTCCAACCACTAGCATGGACTACCACCAGATTGGACGTTCCATCTCTACTCTCATGTCAGACAAGGTAAACGAAGCGTAAACGTGCCTGAATCCAGCGAGCAGACCCACAAACAGCAGCAGGTTGAAAGAACATGAAGGAGATATTTTTAACTCCACATTTACCATCCAGCAATTTCACGAGGCGGCGTACCTGGCAGACGACCGGCACGACCTGCTGAACGCCATCAATAGCTTCCTGGACTGCAGCATCGTGCTGCCGCCTTCAGAGATGGGAGACGACGAGCTGCTGCGCTCCGTGGCTCGCTTTCAGAGGGAGATGCTGCGCAAGAGGGAGGAGCAAGAGGTCACGCTGCTCAAAGAGCCGAAAAGCCTCAAAGATAAAGGTTTGTTCCTCGTTTTTATTTTAATTCACGTTTTTATGACTCCAGATTACCGTATCTGTCATTCCTTCACCCAGAGGCTCTCTCAATGCCTTCGAAGAAATCGGACGACCCGCTGGAGCGCACGGGCCGCCTCTTCGGTGGGCTGATTAGAGACGTGCAACGCCGCTACCCTAAATATTTAAGCGACTTCAGAGACGCGTTGAGCAGCCAGTGCATGGCTGCGGTGATCTTCATCTACTTTGCTGCTCTCTCTCCTGCCATAACCTTTGGAGGTCTGCTAGGTGAGCTTGTGTGGGGGGTTAGGGGTTTAACGACCCTGCTGATCTGGTGGTGTTAACAAGTTGTTGTCCACCAGGAGAGAAGACGGACGGTCTGATCGGAGTTTCTGAGCTCATCGTGTCCACGGCGTTTCAGGGCATCGTCTTCTGTTTACTCGGGGCTCAGCCGCTGCTGGTCGTGGGCTTTTCTGGACCCCTGCTGGTTTTTGAAGAAGCATTTTTCAGTGTAAATAAAACACAGAAATATGTTCTCTTCCTCTAAAATTCCAGATTTCTGACATTTTTGAGATAATTCTTTCTGTGTTCTCACAGTTCTGCAAAGCCAACGGCATCGAGTACCTGACGGGTCGCGTGTGGATCGGCGTCTGGCTCATCGTCATCGTGATGGTCACGGTGGCCTTCGAAGGGAGCTTCCTGGTGCGCTTCGTCTCCCGCTTCACTCAAGAGATTTTCTCCTTCCTCATCTCTCTCATCTTCATCTGTGAGACCTTCACCAAGCTCTACAAGGCACGTGAATCTCGTTTTTGTTGGCGTGCTGCAGGTTAATGTATCCAGAATCTTTTTTAGTGATTGAAACATAAAAGGAGTGAGTCTAGTTTTCATCCCGGCTCCTGAGTTTGTAAGATTTAGTTATTTTTAGGAATTTTTTTAAATGCAGACGTTCCCATTTTGTTCTCTGAATGCTCTGCTTTATTCTGTGTGTAGATATTCAAGGAGCACCCGCTGAAGCGCTGCTCTTTCAGCAACAGCACAGAAGAAGACTCCTTAGCAGAAAACACCTCCTTGGTCCAGACCAATGGCACCCAGTCTGTCCCAGTCAGCGGGGAACCCAACACGGCGCTGCTCTCTCTGGTTCTGATGGCGGGGACGTTCTTCATTGCTTTCTACCTGCGCAAGTTCAAGAACAGCGCCTTTTTCCCTGGAAGGGTAAGAAAATCAAATCTGCTGAGCTGAGTTTGGTCAGCGGTCCGAACCGACCCATGTTTGGTCGTCTAGTTCCGCAGGATGATTGGAGACTTTGGGGTTCCTATCGCCATCCTGATCATGGTTCTGGTGGATTACAGCATAGAAGACACGTTCACACAGGTGAGCTTCTGTGGACGTTTGCATGTGATGTAAACTCCATCCATGCTGAGCGCCGTGTTTGCACTCTGAACAGAAGCTGAGCGTTCCTAATGGATTCTCTGGGATGAGTACCGAGAAACGCCACTGGGTCATCAGTCCTCTGGGATCGGACGGACTTTTCCCCATCTGGATGATGTTTGCCTGCTGTTTGCCGGCGCTGCTGGTTTTCATCCTCATCTTCATGGAGACTCAGATCACAACGTAAGTCACAACAGCTTGTGTTCGTTTCAACGCCGTACGTCTTTCTGATCCACGCAGTCGAGAAAAGCTCCCCAGAAACAAACCCACGGACTGAAACCCATTTAGGAGTGTATTTATCACACAACAACACTACAATCCACCAAACAATAAGTCTGCTAAGAGAAAGTTACCTCATGGCGTCAGTGCGTGATCCAAACGGGAACCCGCTGTCTCCCTCAGCTGGTGGCCTTGCATGACTGCAGGAACAGCAGGTTAAAACTCAGTTACAGGACATTTAAGAAGCTAAATACTTCAGTAATATTGTTTAGGAGGTTTACAGAATGTTCAAAAAGCTAAAACAATTATAATCTACTCAGCCATCGTTCAGATCTGTTGTGGTTCTACAAGCTTTGTTTTTATTTGAGCTGAAATTTAGATAAATGAATGGAACAAACTGTTAAAGATGGTAGAAGTCAAAGATTAACAAATCTTTCCCCCAGCTGCATCAGCAAAAGTCGTGAAGATGTCCTGGATGTGTCTTCTTTTTGACCTTCTGCAGCCTCATCGTCAGTAAGAAGGAGCGGATGCTGGTGAAGGGTTCCGGCTTCCACCTGGACCTCCTCCTGATCGTGGTTCTGGGCGGGTGCTCGGCTCTGTTCGGACTGCCGTGGATGGCGGCCGCCACCGTTCGCTCGGTGACTCACGTCAACTCCCTCACCGTGATGAGTAAAGCCGTCGCCCCTGGAGACAAGCCTCGCATCCAGGAGGTGAAGGAGCAGAGGGTGACGGGGCTGCTGGTGGCTATCATGGTTGGTGAGTATCAGACGGGGGCACGTCTCCTCCCCCCTCAGAGTCCTGATAAAACCGTATAATAATTCATTTTTAACCTTTTCTGTCCAGGTTTGTCCATCGTGATCAGTGACCTGCTGCGTCAGATCCCTCTGGCCGTTCTGTTTGGGATCTTCCTCTACATGGGGGTGATGTCGCTCAACGGCATCCAGCTAACAGAGCGGATGAAGCTCCTCCTCATGCCGCCAAAGTACCACCCTGACCACACCTATGTCCGCAAGGTAATTTAGATGGACCTTTTTTGCCTTTAAAGTCAAAATAAATGACAAAAATGCCTCAGAGGGAAGATTTTTGTGTTATTTATTCACTTGTTCATGTTCTGCAGGTCCGTACTTGGCGCATGCATCTCTTCACCTGCATCCAGCTGGTGTGTTTGGCCGTCTTGTGGGCCGTGATGTCCACCCAGGCGTCCCTAGCTTTCCCCTTCGTCCTCATCCTCACCGTGCCAGTCAAGATATTCGTGCTGCATCGCATCTTCAACCCCAGAGAGGTGGCATGTGTGAGTTTAACGTCTGGAACAGAAACTCACAGCTCCATGCTGCTGTTTGGAGATAAATCTGATTTTTGTGTTTTCTGTCTCCTAGCTGGACGGAGATGATGCAGAACCAAAGTTCGACGAGCGCGAGTGTCACGACGAGTACTCGGAGATGCACATGCCCGTCTGACCAAGCTGGTCACGTGACCACATCTCGCCGACGACTCTCTGGAAGGGTCGTTGTGGTTTTCCTTCTGCTTCACAGCAGTTCTCGTAGCTCAACAGAACAAAATAAATAGTTTTTTTTTAACATTCATTTCAGGGGACAAGAGATTCCAAATGTAAAGACGGGAACTCGAGTTTAAAACCAACAGCGTAACAGTCGACAGGTTTGCAAAACAAAAGAAATTTTAGCCCTGAAAGTTTTGCTATGATTCACATTGAATATGTGGAGGATATATAGGATACATTCCTTCATATTAATGTGCTGAGTTAGCGCTAGTCTAGTCTGTTTTTAAGTTCACTAAGCGCCTTATGAAGGAAACCAGATGTACGGAGCTGCGTTTTTGTTTAGTTTTTTCCACATTCTGTCTTATTTTAGACAGCTAATCACTTTAAAAACAAAGCTTGTAGCACTTTTAAGAGAAAAGAAACCAAATCCGAACAATGACTGTAAATTGTATAATTATTTTAGCGTCTTAAAATTCCTGTAAACCTCTTAAACATTGATGTTGATGTATTTAGCTTCCTAAATGTCCTGTGATTGAGTTTTAACCTTCTGTTCTTTCATCTTTTAAGTGTTTTGGGATCAGTTTCAATCATCTTCAGCTTTTTATTGTAGAGTTTGTTCCTGCAGTGATGCAAGACCGCCAGCAGAGGGAGAGCTTGGTTTACTGTTTTCATTGTGCAACAAAAACAGTAAAAACACAAATTTATTGTTACGCTAATGCAATGAAACATGAATTATTTTTATCATTAGGGCTTATTTTTAAGTAGGAAATGTCACTTCTGTCTCTGTTTGTTTATTTAAGTGCCAAATATCTGTTGTGATGAGAACAATAAGCTGCAGTTCAGTCCATGAAGCATAAACTAACATTTTTTTTGTAGAAGCATTCAATATTTTAATACCTACCAAATCTCCACCCACACTGTGCTGGCAATCTCATTCATTCGAGGTTTTTGCATGTTTGTTTTTAGATTGTTGTCATGTTGCGTCTGAGTAACATGGATTGGTTAAAGTGTTGACTTGTGTCAAATAACTGTTACACTCACCTAGAAATATCTCACACACCACGATCCTCTCTGAGCGGCCCCGTCTCTGCCTGACTGAAATCCTGATCTTGTGCCTTTTTAGAGTCAAAGTTGCACAAAATCACAAGTGCCTGTTGGAGGTGGGGGTTCAGCTGCATGTGTGGTGTTTGTTAGGACGTTACAGTGTGTAGCACTCAAAACAAACATCTGATTTATTTATCTGCTCTCACATTGCTGCGTGTTTAAAGTATATCTTAGATTTGTCGTTGTTTTGTTGTTTTACACACGTTTGACTGAGCTGTACTCCTGAATATGAAGGAGAGTTGTTGAATTGGACAGTCTGTGTTGTTTCTGGTTATTTTATGGAACTAGGATTGGGACAAAATTACATGTAACTTGTACCAAGTTTTGTAACTGTGACTTTTGTTTTGTAGCATGTAATTCTCATTTTGTAACACGTAACTTTGGTACGTAACATTAAACTGTTATTTTGTAACTTATAGGAAAAAAATCTATGTACAATTTTCAACTCACAACTTTCAAAACATACATCTCAGTCTACAGTTACAAAACTCAAGTCTACAAGTACAAAACATTTTGTCCCAATTCTAGCTTCCTTCCAACAGGAATTGTCTTCGACAGGAATCCAAGACTCATGATTGGCTGGTTAGACAAAGCCTGTCATTGGTTCATTGGGAAGGAAGCTAGAATTGGGACAAAATGTTTTGTACTTGTAGACTTGAGTTTTGTAACTGTAGACTGAGATGTGTGTTTTCAGAGTTGTGATTTGAAACTTGAACATTGATTGTTTTCTGCAAGTTACAAAATGAAAGTTTCATGTTACAAAACATGTTACAGGTTACAAAGCTTGGTGCAAGTTACATGTAATATTGTCCCAATCCTAGTTCCATATTATTCTGCCTGTTTATCTCAGACTGAAACATGTAGGTTTATTTGAAGGAACAACACGTAATCCAAGAGCTGATGTTCTTTTGTGCATCAATGTTTCAGATGTTGGTGACAATTAAAACTTATTTTCTATTGATCTGCTCTGACCTGTTGTTTTTTATGGTTAACTAAATTATCTGTGGCAAAAAAAACATTAAAAAAATTTGTTGTCGTCATCTTCCTCTGTTTATCCGGGTTCGGGTCGTGGGGGCAGCATCCCAACTAGGGAGCTCCAGACCGTCCTCACCCTATCTCTAAGGCTGAGCCCGGCCACCCTACGGAGGAAACTCATTTCGGCCGCTTGTATCCGTGATCTTGTTCTTTCGGTCATTACCCAAAGCTCATGACCATAGGTGAGGATTGGGACGTAGATCGACCGGTAAATCGAGAGCCTGGCTTTCTGGCTCAGCTCCCTCTTCACCACGACAGATCGGCTCAGCGTCCGCATCACTGCAGACGCTGAACCAATCCGCCTGTCGATCTCCCGATCCCTCCTACCCTCACTCGTGAACAAGACCCCAAGATACTTAAACTCCTCCACATGAGGTAGGACCTCTCCCCCGACCCAGAGTTGGCAAGCCACCCTTTTCCGGTCGAGAACCATGGTCTCAGATTTGGAGGTGCTGATCCTCATCCCAGCCGCTTCACACTCGGCTGCTAACCTACCAGCAAGAGCTGAAGGTCAGAGCTGGATGAAGCTAGGAGGACCACATCATCCGCAAAAAGCAGAGATGAGATTCTCCTGCCACCAAACTCGACACACTCCACACCACGGCTGCGCCTAGAAATTCTGTCCATAAAGGTAATGAACAGAACCGGTGACAAAGGGCAGCCCTGGCGGAGTCCAACCCTCACCGGGAACAGGTCCGACTTACTACCGGCTATGCGGACCAAACTCGATCCTCTGGTAAAGGGACTGAATGGCCCTTAACAGAAAGCCACCCACCCCATACTCCTGGAGCGTCCTCCACAGGGTGTCCCTGGGGACACGGTCATAAGCCTTCTCCAAATCCACAAAGCACATGTGGATTGGTTGGGCAAACTCCCATGCCCCCTCCATCACCCTTGCAAGGGTATAGAGCTGGTCCACAGTTCCACAGCCAGGACGAAAACCACATTGCTCCTCCTCAATCTGAGATTCAACTATCGATCGGACCCTCCTCTCCAGTACCTTGGAGTAGACCTTTCCAGGGAGGCTGAGGCATGTGATCCCCCTATAGTTGGAACACACCCTCAGGTCACCCTTCTTAAAGATGGGGACCACCACTCCGGTCTGCCACTCCACAGGAACTGCCCCCGATGACCACGTAATGTTGCAGAGATGTGTCAACCATGACAGCCCTACAACATCCATAGCCTTGAGATACCCAGGACGAACCTCATCCGCCCCCGGTGCTCCGCCGCTGTGTAGTTGTTTGACTACCTCAGCAACTTCTGCCCCTGAGATTGGACAGTCCATCCCCAGGTTTCCCGGCTCTGGTTCCTCCTCGGAATGCACATAGGTGGGATTGAGGAGCTCCTCAAAGTATTCCTTCCACCATCCGACTATAGCCCCAGTTGACGTCAGCAGCTCCCCATCCCCACTGTAAACAGTGTGAGCGAGTTGCTGCCTTCCTCTCCTGAGGCGCCGGACAGTTTGCCAGAACCTCTTTGGAGCCGATCGATAGTCTTTCTCCATGGCCTCACCAAACTCCTCCCACGCCCGAGATTTTGCCCCGGCAACTGCCACTGCTGCACCCTGCTTGGCTATCCGGTACCTGTCTGCTGCCTCCGGAGACCCACAGACCAAACACGCCCTGTAGGCCTCCTTCTTCAGCCTGACGGCTCCCCGAACCTCTGGTGTCCACCAGCAGGTGCGGGGGTTGCCACCACGACTGGCACCGGCCACCTTGTGACCCCAGCTAGCAACAGCCACCTCAACAATCGCAGAGTGGAACAAGGCCCACTCGGAGTCAATGTCCCCCACTGCTCTCAGGATGCGGTCAAAGCTCTGCCGGAGGTGGGAGTTGAAGACTGTCTTAACAGGTTCTTCTGCCAGGCGTTCCCAGCAGGCCCTCACTATGTGTTTGGGTCTGTCAGGTCTATGCGGCATCTTCCCCTGCCATCTGATCCAACTCACCACCAGGTGGTGATTAGTTAACAGCTCCGCTCCTCTCTTCACTTGGGTGTCCAAAATATACGGACGCAGGTCAGATGATACGACTACAAAGTCTATCATCGACCTGCAACCTAGGTTGCCCTGGTACCAAGTGTACCGATGGGCATCCTTATGTTCGAACATGGTGTTCGTTATGGCCAAACTGCGGCTTGCACAGAAGTCCAATAACGAAACATCACTCGAGTTCAGATCAGGCGGGCCGTTCCTCCCAATCACACCCCTCCAGGTCAAGCTGTCATTGCCCACGTGAGCACTGAAGTCCCCCAGCAGGACAATGGAGTCCCCTGATGGAGCACTATCTAGCACTCGTCCCAGGGACTCCAAAAAGGGTGGGTAATCTGAACTGATATTTGGCCCATAAGCACAAACAACAGTCAGGACCCGTTCCCCGACCCGAAGGCACAGGGAAGCTACCCTCTCGTCCCCCGGGGTAAACCCCAACACACAGGCAGAGAGTCTTGGGGCTAACAAAAAGCCAACCCCAGCCCTCCGCCTCTCACCTGGAGCAACTCCAGCAAAGGAGAGTGTCCAACCCCTCTCCAGGTCTCGGGTTCCAGAGCCAATGCTATGAGTCTAGGTGAGTCCGACTATATCTAGCCGGTACCGCTTAACCTCTGCCACAAGCTCCTGCTCCTTCCCCGCCAGCAAGGTGACGTTCCATGTCCCAAAAACTAGGGATGCACCGATCAGGTTTTTTGCTTCCGATCACCGATACCGATATCAAAGAATGCTGATCATCGATACCGATCACGTGGATTGGCCAGAAATTTTCTACAACATTATAATGAATGCTACAAACTACATAATCTGGGAATAAAGGAAATGTAACCTAATCTAAAATGGTCTGTATTAGGGTTGTCACAGTGTGAAAATTTAACCTCATGGTTATTGTGACCAAAATTACCACGGTTTTTGGTATTATTGTGGTATATTTTTTAAACGTTTTACTTTTTCACACAATTAAATAAACTCTGTATGTCAGGAAATATTGTCCTCAGTTTGTGTTTAAATTTAGCCTAAAATGTGTTATTTTGTAATTATGTTGTTTATTTGTTTACATTTTTTCCCTTTAGTCTTTAAAATACCAATATTTGCCAATAACTTCTTATTTTATGTCTGTTTGATGTCATCATTTAAAAAATATTAGATCAGATGATACTCAGTACTCAAGTAGCCTTCTAATCAGATACTTTTTACCCTTACTTGAGTAATAAACCCTATATCAGGAAAATATTGTCCTTGGTTTGTGTCCTTCCAGTGAGCTTTGCAGATTTGGGAAAATGTCATCAGGCAGTAATCATTGTTAAATTCATAATTATTCTCAGAGAGAGACCAACTCTTATCTGCCCCTGGGAGCCCCGTAATGCATAGCGTCATTTCAACATGGGGGTGTCCGCGACATGGTTTATATGCAGGTAGCGGCGCTGCGGCTGCTTTATATAGCGACTCGTTGCATTCTCCCTCAACCCAAATCCTCGGCTCACGCATTTTAGCTAGAACGCTAACGTTAACTTACCTTGCGTTGACTGTAGAGTTGTGGGTGATGGTCATGCAGATGTGTCATGAGATTTGAAGCGTTGCTGCCTTTCACAGACACTTTTTCTGCTCGTGCTGCAACCAGGATAGCCGTCTTCTATCAACTGTCCCTCTGCATTCTTCAAATATCCAAAAGATGCCCGTACTTCCGACTTTGTCTTCTTTGAGGGATAAAAAATGTCCTCCTGAGCGCTGCCGTCTCCTCCTTTGGCCATTATTTCAGATCGGTCTGCTTTGATCTATTTTGAAAACTCCGATCAAAACCCATAGGGGCGCTATCGGCCGATTGGGATCAAATGCCAATCCATCGGTGCATCCCTACCAAAAACCAGTTTTCTTGTCCGGGGATTGGACCGCCAAGGCTCCCGCCTTGGTCTGCCACCCGATCCACACTGCACCGGACCCTTCATGTTCCTCCTGCGGGTGGTGGGTCCACAGTTGGATGAGCCCATGTATCCGGTTTGGGCTGGGCCCCATGGGTGAAAGCCCAGCCACCAGGCGCTCGCTCACGGGCCCCAACCCCAGGCCTAGCTCCAGGGTGGGACCCCGGTAACCCTCCGGGCCGGGTACTCCGATTCTTTGAATTTACTTCCATGAAAGATCCTGTGAACCGTTCTTAGGGTCTGTCATGGGAGGCCCTACCAGGGGCACAAAGTGCCCCAGACAACATAGCTCCTAGGATCATTAGGGCACTCAAACTCCTCCACCACGATAAGGTGACGGTTCAAGGAGGAGTTAAAAAAAATATATATATATTTTGATATTTAAAATGATTTGCTCCATCTTTAGTGAGTATAATTATTAACAAGTTTTTCATTATAATGCAAGACTAAATATGTCACACAGTCATTAAATATGTTACACAGACTGCAAAACGCCAGCATGTGCAGCATATGTGGAATGAAATATGTTGGCGATATAAAGAGACAGCAGTGGGCGTGCGCCACCATCTTGTTTCAGTGTGTGTGTGGTGCTGTGCCGAGAACGGAGGCAGCGCTCTTCTCTACCTCTGATCTGATGGTGCAGCACCACAGCACAGCAGCAGTGAGTAAGCTATCGTTCGTCAGCTAGCTAACATTTTTATTAGCCCCACCTAGGTGTGCTAAATTTTCCCACAAGTGAACTGGGCTTCAAGTAGAAAAAAACAGACCAAACTGGCAAAAAAAACCTTACATCAGCACTTTTCCTCTTTGTTCAATACTCCCATAATTCACTGTTGCCCAGGTGTGCTACATCTTCCGATAACTGAACTGGGCTTGAACTAATTTAAATCACGCTAAACATTGCAAAAGCAAAGACAAACAAAAAAATAAAATAATCAGGTGCTACTTTTCCCTTTATTCATAACTCTTCACTCGTTTACTGTGCTTCTGCACTCCAATATGGTGGACCCACGAGATGCAGAGAGTCTATAGCAGCTTGAGCGGGGAATGGGTGGGCGTGGCCAGCTCCAGCTAATTTTTTTAAAGTGACAGATCCCTGAAACGACTCATTCTGGAAGGTGCTGAAAATGTCAAAAATGAAAATATTGAAATCGCTTCATGTTAGATGGATTTATTGTCAAAAAAATCCATAAACATATTTGGTATCAACCATAGCACTATTATAACTTAAGAATAAAAATCATAATTTGTCCCCTTTAACCCTCCCACTGCCCTCCCACCCAATAGGACAGTGGGAGGGTTAAATAAATCAAGAGAGGCTAACAGACAGGGACATTATGGGTGTTTAACAGAACGTGAAGAATTTCCATGTTGGGAAAGTGATAAGCCTGAGATTTCTTGATTAGTTCTGAGACGTGATCAAACTTGTAAGCATCAGTTTTTTCCCGTTAAAAAAGGGTTGGGTCTTCGTTTCTGCACGGGAACTCGGCAGAAAGAGGATCATTTCTGCTTCTCTCGCAAAGTTTGAGACAAACACAACGATGGCTGCTGTGCTGCTGTGGCTCTTCAGCCTTGGAGCTTTGCTTTATTCTTCTGGAGCTCAGAAAAATTACGACGATCTGCCCGAAACCTACAGGAAAGGGGTGGATTTGGCCCTGAAGATGGTCAACTCCCTCGCTAGTGTTCAGCATCACTTTCTCTTCTACAAAAGTGTTGAAAAGTCAGCGACCGAGGTACAGTCCTGCATGTGGGCATATGTTTGAATTTATCATGTGTTTGTGACTGTGACTTTTTCAGGGTTATTATGAGAAAAAAATCTTAAAATCAAGCTACAAATCTACACGGATTGGTTGTTTAAAGTGAATAAAAGTCCTTTTGTTCCCACTCAGCCTGGTTTTGATGTGAGCTACATCCTCCACCACTTTCTACTAAGAGCGACCAGGTGCCAGAAAGGAACCGTGGAGACTGCAGGATGCCAGTTCAGAGACGACAGAGTGAGTTTTATCTGACTGACTAAGCTGTGGAATGTGAGGCTGCTGCAACATGTCTGAGCTGGTTTGTTTATGTGCTATCCTGCAGCCTCCAATCGACTGCACAGTCTGTTACAAAACATACAGAGGAGAGATTGAACCAGAGCCCAAGCCGTACGTTCACTGCATCCAGAAACCGGCCCTGACAGTGGTTTGTACCAGAAATTGTGATTCCACACATTTATTTAAAGGACAATAGGAGATTTTTCCTTCTGTTTTCACATTTCTGGTTTGCAGGGGATGATGAACTCCAGGAGAATGCAATGCAGTGCTGTGGGATGCAACAGCGGGGCCATAACGCTTCTATCATCAATCGGAAATGAATAATAGTCCGTTTACAGATTTGCAAACTTCTCTTTACTCGATTATTTAACAGCTTGTCCTGTTATGTTTGAAATCTACATAATCTTGAACAGTTTAATAAAACAATGATAAAGCTAATGATTTTATATAAATAATAAAAATTTTATGAGCTTTTGTTTTCATACTTGCTTGTTTCATTTGTAAAATGTATTTTAAGCATCTTTTCCTTATTAAAAGTGCATCAGCAGCAGTGTATGATGTGCATTTATTTTACTGCTGATGTTTGCAACATTAATGCTTAAACCCACAAATATCCTAATTTATTTAAGTTTCCTGTAAGTTTCCCTCCAGTACAAGCTTTGCTAAAAATTGTCATTTTTGCATATAATATAAAACAAAACTGCATTGAAAAAATGTTTTCTGGTCATAAATACTAAAAACAACTTAAGTTTTTGCTTACATTTGTGGAGAAAACATAACAGTTCCCAGGGGTTCCAAAAACCTTTAAAATTGCTCCAGCTGCTGGATCAATGCTCCTGCTCACAAAAGGCAGCAATCAGGTGTGGCCACATCTGTAGCATGGTGAGAAGACTTTTAATGGATGGGTTGGTGTCAAGAAGGACTGTAAAGAAGCCACTGGGTTTGTTAGCCAAGGGAAAGGACTCACCCTCAGTTCATCCTCAGAACACACCAGCAAATAAGTAATGGTAACTAAACATCATCCCAGAGGAACTCCTTCCAGCTGTTGACATTTAGGTTTAATGAAGTTATCAAAAAAGTCCTCTAAAATTATGAACTCCTTCTAATTATGCTTAAAGGTACAAATACGTACATTTGTCATGTTTTTACAATAATTTTTGTGAGCCAATAGGTGCTAAAATGATCCTTAACCCTCTGGAGGCAGGCGTTGCAGATTTGCAACATTAAAACCTACCTACCTGGTTGCTCCACATACGTATTTAATGAGCATTTTTTAACTCAGAAGTACCCCTGAAGGACTTAGTTGTTTGTCCTTTTATCAAAACTTATTTAGAGCCTGAAAGGCTTAAGGGGTAATTGAAAATTCTCTCAGCTCCCTCAGCACTTGTGGACTGAATACCGCGTTTGCAACTTGAGCCTCCCTGGACCGGTGACCTGAAGACTTGCAAAGTCACATATCTCACAAGAAGCAGTGATGCTTTGCAGCAATCCATATTTACGCATTAGAACCAGCCGTCAAGTCTTCTGTTTTGGCTGGGAAACTCCCATATTTTTCCCCATTTCCCGCCGCCTTCGTAGTATTATGTTCATTGGAAAAAATCTGCCCCTGCTTCCTCGCTCTCACAAAGATTGGAGCTTAAGAATGTGGTCAACTGGTTTGAACACATGGTTAAAAGGTTTTCTGTCTTTTACGTAAACAAATGTGTAAATAAACCAACTTAGACCTTCTCCAAACACTGATTAGCAAAGACTTTCCCAATTCCCCATAAGGGATCTATTTCTTGTAAATGGAACCTGACAGGGCCAAAAAATGAGGCTTCATTTGGCTGCAAATCACATCTGTCACTCCTCTTTCTACTTGGCTGCTTTTCCCCGCATGTTGACATTTCCAGGACTGGGATTGCACAGCCAAGACTTTGGCAAGTAATTGCTCATTAAAATCCGTCCTGGGAGAACGGCTTCATAAGAAAAGCTTTCACTTAGTATCCTCTGGTTTTACGTAAACAATCCCTGCTGATGATCAGTGGGTTTGGTTTCTGTTGTTTGTTCGGTTCTACACCCATAATAGGACTTGTTTTGGGAGTGAGTGTTGAGCCAAGATACAGAGAGGAGGGTATTCACCTCCTGGACTGGGTTATTTTCCTATAGTTGGAGAAAGATGGCTGCTCGGTTGCTGCTACTGGCTTGTGCTGCTGTTGTGTTACATGCTGCCAAAGCCCAGGACTCTTACAACGGGCTGCCCGATTCCTTTAAGACAGGAGTGGATTTGGTTTCTGAGCAACTTACATCGAGCAGTAATGTAAAACTGCATTTTCGCTTCTGGAAAACAGTGAACAAATCACAGCATGAGGTAATTGTCCCGTATTTCAAAAGTATGCTTTATTTTTTAAATCAATCTGTGAAAAATGTTCCTATGGCATCATCAGTAGGATTAGATTTTCTGCAGAGGAGCTGAAAAGTTTTACATTATAACAAAAATCCTTCTTAAGTTTTGTTTCAGTTTCCTTGTCTTTGTGCCTTTCTGAGTCATCTTTGTTTTCCCAGCTGCTTTGGATTAAGTGTACTTTGAAACTTCAAAAGTCAACAATTTGTTCTTCCCAAAAGTCAGATAAGGACATTTTGCTGAGATTAAAGAAAAGCAAGCTGTTTTTAAATTCTTTTTCAAACTCAAGAGTATTTCATGCTGAACTTGGAAAAAATGTGATTTTCTATTAACTGGTCTCAAAAGGTTGAAGCAACTAATAAAATCATCAGCAAAAACAGCTCATTGAAAACAGTTAACTACACAGCAGGAGGAGTATCTAGGACTAGCATTCCCTAAATGAATCACCCAAACTTCTCCCTACTCTCTCAAAGGCGGGATTTCGTCAGAAATTCCTCTACCACCATTTCCACCTGAAACCCACCTGGTGTGCTAAAGGAAAAGGAGCGTCAAACTCCCAGAGTTGTGCCTTCAGGAATGACAGAGTAAGACATTTTCTAAAAGAGAAAAAAGGACTGTATTTATATTCAGTGAAACATACGTGTGATTTTTCCACAGCCTCTGATGGATTGTGCAGTTTGCTTCAAAATGTCCCCAGAAGGGATTGAATACAATCCCATGCCATATGTTCACTGCATCCAGAGACCAAGACTCACAAAAGTACGTTACTCATTTTCTGTCTTTATGTGTACAAATAAACACAGATTCAGAATTTTGGACAAATTTAAGTTTGGTATTTTACAGTGAATTAAATATTCTATTCTGTCCTGAAGTTTTTAGAGTAAAAAAGAATAATGTGTTGTTTATGTCCTTCTTCCTGTATTGTAAACGATGTTCTTCAGAACATTTCTAAAATAGATAAAAACTGGGGAATATTAAGTGACTCCTAATATTTTGAATACATTCTCAATAAATGAAGTTATATTTAAATAATCAACATCAAATCTAAATGTATAACGTTGTATCTAAATATTAAGCCTCTGACAAAATATATTAAAGTGCATCTAAACATCAAGGTTAAAATCTAATTACACGAAGAAATATATGGATATAAGTTTACTATAATTTTATAGATTTAGAATTGATTCTATCTAAACATTTAGAATCAAATCTAAATATTTTAAACACATATAAATGTTTAAAATTGATTTAAAAACTTGAAGTCACATCTAAATATTTAGAATCAAATCTGATAATTTAAAGCTACATCTTTGTATATAAAATTATAACATACGTAATACTTAATGTTATATCTAAACTTCCATCCGTACATTCTCTTCCGCTTATCTGGAGTCGGGTCGCGGGGACAACAGCCTAAGTCGAGAGGCCCAAACTTCCCTCTCCCCAGCCACTTGAGTCATCTCTCCCTTTGATTTGATTCTATCTAAACTTTTAGGATCAAATCTAAATATATATTAAAAAACGCACATTTAAATATTTTAAATAAAATCTAAAAACATAAAAATACAGCTAAAAGTTTAAAATGAATTTGAGGTACATGAAGTTAGATCTAAATATTTAGGAATCAAATCTGAATATCTGAAGCTACAAGGAAAATATTTAAAGTCAAAACTAAATTCCTAAAGTTATATCTAAATATTTAGAATCAAATTTAGATAGATAAAGCCAAATTAAAATCTTTACAATCAAACAGAATATTTAAAGTTAAATTAAAATGTTCTTAATCTAATCTAAACATTTAAAAATAATTTAAAATATCTTAAATAAAATCTAAAAACATAAAATTACAGAAACATTTTTAAAATCAAAGGTGACAATGTAAAGCTACATAAAAATATTTAAAACTAATTATATAAAGTTTTAACTAAACCTTCAGAATGAAAATCTAAATATTTAAATATACATTTAACATTTTGAAATAAAATCCAAACATATAATTACATCTAAATGTTTTAAATCTAATCTAAATAAATGAAGCTGCATCCAAATTTTAAAACCTAATACTAAATGTGGTGCTTAATCAACTTCTGACTGGTTTAAAATAGAAGTAAGCTATCAAAATAAAAGCTTTGTGAAGCAAATCCACATTTAATCTTTCAGTGAGATTGAATCTGGTTAACGTCATCAAAACATTTTTATCATTTATTATTTAGATGTAACTTTATGATGTTCAAGATGTTTAGATATAACTTCATAGATGTTTACGTAAATTAAATATGCAATTGAATACACTATGATTTAGATTTATGTTTAAACATTTTGATATAATAATGGTAAGTGCATGGGGTGGGGAAAGGGTGTATTTCAATAGTTTCACATCTGTTTTCATTGTTTAGAGAAGCTAATATTGTAAATGTATTAATTTACAATCAGTGCCTCATATAATTATTCTTAGTTTGGATGATTTCTGACTTTACACCTTAATGTTCTCTCTTTTTTCAGGAGATGATCACTGAACGGACACAACAGTGCAAAAAAGTGAACTACAACACAGGAGGAGCAACCCTTTTGGGCTTGTCTACGGGCTGAAAAGACAGTTCTTAATATTAATCAAGCAGCAAGAGGTCCAGCTAATTCTTCACTTTATCTGCCTTTTCTTTTCTATTAATGTCACTTTTTCCAAGCACAACTGAGTGTATTCAAATAAAATCTGTGCTTTTGACGTATTATATAACTGCAACAATAAACTAGGTCACCGCCTGTATAACTGAGTTGTATAGAAATAACCTATTGGTCCTCACATTGTTTGATGCTATTGATGCAACTTAAATGAAAATTTGAATGCATGTGCACCAGGTTGCTGGCACCAGAACATATTTTATTTTAATCTTCTTTGCCAGAGTATTATTTGCCCTGTTTGATCTTATTTAGAGGCATTCTAGTCCAAGTTAAAAACAAAGCAAAAAAACAACTCTAGAAATTAAAAAGTACAATATTTTACTGTAATTTACCCAAATTAAAATTAAGGAGCCAATGACCAAAAACTCATGATATTAACATCTAAGATTTTTTTTATGCTTTAAATTCAAAGTATGAGATAAAACATAAAGCAAATGCAGATTTGGGGTCTGATTGTTATTTTAAAGGCAGAGAACTTGAAATGTTTCCTCCATCACTTCATGCCTCTGGATTTGGCAGAGCTCCATAGCTCTTCGGCTTCCTTAAACACCAGGAGTTGGCCGTTGTTGGTCAACTGAAGACGACTTATCTATGATCCCTGTTGGTGGGAGTTGGTCTGGAGGTGCCACACTTGTTGTACATGACCAGGTTACAAGTGTCTGAGGCCCAATGGGCTTCCAGCCGTAGATCACAAAGTTTCCATCATCCTGCAGGAAGAAGCAAAAACAAAAATGTATTATTTTTTTAAATTTTACCAAAAAAATGGACTGGATTGAAGAGGAAAATGTTTATCTGAAAAATGGCCTTCTATTGTCTGTTGTTGGACATGTGAAAGTCAAAAACACTTGAATTTCAGCTGCAGCTTTTCTGTGAGGAGTTAGCGTGATCTCCCCATGCATGTGTGGTTTTTTCCAGATGCTCTGGCTTCCTCTCACAGGCCAAGAAGAAAATTGTAAGTCACTTTAGATGAAAGAATCAGCAAAATGAATGAACATAAACATCGCTTTGACTGTCCAGCTGACAAACATCTATGCAGCCTCCAGACAAAAAAACAAACAAACCTGTTATGCAAGGCCTGAGATGCACTTTAGTAAATAAAGTTAAAAAGAGTTTTAAAATCACTCATATTAAGGTGTGTGAAACATGTGTGTGTGCGTTTGTGTGTGTATGGGGCTATATGTGCATGTGTGTGAAAGTGTATGTGCGTAAATATGTATGTGTATCTGTTTGAATTTGTGTGTACATGTACATATATGTATGTGTGTATTTCTATGTATGTGAATTTGAAGTTTGTGTGTGTGTGTGTGTGTGTGTGTGTTTGTGTGTGTGTGTGTGTGTGTGTGTGTGTGTGTGTGTGTGTGTGTGTGTGTGTGTGTGTTTGTGTGTGTGTGTGTGTGTGTGTGTGTGTGTGTGTGTGTGTGTGTGTGTGTTTAGTCTGTAAAACTGATTGAACAATCATACCGGTATTTGAAAATAACAAGTGAAAAACACTTTCTCAGTGAACTTGGTCTTTAATGTTAAACCTGTGATTTTCTCTGTTACCAAGTTTAAACCATTCCTAAATTCATGCCACTCAAGGTTTCTATATCCTTAAAGTCTGGCCACTCATTCTGGACAATTTTATCCACCATGATGTTCATTAACCAAAGCCTATGGCCATAGATGAGGGTTGGTGTTTTTTTTTTGTTGTTGTTTTTTTACATTTTTTGTTTTTGTGAAGCGCCTCGTGATTTTTATCTTGAGAGGCGCTATAGAAAAGATCTTTTCTTTTTCTTCTTCTTCTTCTTCTTGGACCATAGCTCTTTTAAAGCTGCCACAAAGTTTTGTACAGCAAGCATCAAGATAAAAATATATAATCACCAAAACAAACAATAAAAGCAAGCCTAGCACCGCAGGGTATCAAACTCCACCTCATTACTGAGAGTACCATTACCAGTGCCTTAATTGTTTGTTTTGGTTTTTTGTAATTTTTTTAATAGTTTTATGTATTTTTAATACTTTTTTGTGTTTTATAATTGTATTTGTTGTTTTGTCTTTTTTTAAATGTTTTTAAATGATCAAAGCTGCACCAAATACAGCCAATATATAAAATGAAAACAATATTATTTATTTGGTCTAAAACCTAATGAAACATCTATTAACTAACTGCAATTTCCCAGCCTGGGATTATTAAGTACATCCATCTATCTATCTATATCTATCTATCTATCTATCTATCTATCTATCTATCTATCTATCTATCTATCTATCTATCTATCTATCTATCTATCTATCTATCTATCTATCTGTCTGTCTGTCTGTCTGTCTGTCTGTCTGTCTGTCTGTCTGTCTGTCTGTCTGTCTGTCTGTCTGTCTGTCTATCTATCTATCTATCTATCTATCTATCTGTCTGTCTGTCTGTCTGTCTGTCTGTCTGTCTGTCTGTCTGTCTGTCTGTCTGTCTGTCTGTCTGTCCGTCCGTCCGTCCGTCCGTCCGTCTAATAAAAGCGTATTTTTAGAAGCTCTTAAAAACTTTGGGCTCACTTCGCTTCTGATTTGCTGCTTTCAAATTCTTTTCTTGCTTTCTTGAGTTTTTTCTTTTCCTCCTTCAGTTTTTCGATCGCCTCTTTCACTTTTAATTTGACTTCCACTGTTTTATTCTTTTCATCGTTGATCCTCGCTTTTTCTTCCTGCACCAAAATGCACTCTGACTCAAAGTGTTTCTTCTGCTCCGTCAGATCTTGCATCATAGTGTCTAGTTTAGCTTTCTCCTTCTGCAGGACGATTTGTTTTTCAATCAGTTCTTGCTCAGATCTGAACTTTGAGTCTTCAGACTGAAGCATTTGTTCGTCCAGATGTTTGTTCTTAATCTTGAACTTCTCTTCCAGATGTTCGGTCAGTTCTTTTAACTGTTCAGTCTGACTAGCCACAAAGCTCTTGTCCCTTAGCAAGTCCTGCTCTGAATGTTTCTTTAAGTCTTCAAACAGATTTTTCTCGTCCTCCAGCTGTTTGGACATCAGGTCCAGCTGTTGTCTCTCTTCCTGCAAAACTTTTTTCTTTTCTTTCAGTTCTTGCTCAAATTTATTCTTTGAGACTTCAAGCTGAAGCATTTGTTCATCCAGATGTTTGTTCTTATCCTTAAACTTCTCCTCCAGACGTTCGGTCAGTTCTCTTAACTATTCAGTCTGATTTGCCACAGTGCTCTTGTGCCTTAGCAAGTCCTGCTCTGAATGTTTGAGTCTTCAAACAGATTTTTCTCGTCCTCCAGCTGTTTGGACATGAGGTCCAGCTGTTGTCTCGTCCTGCAGATCGACTTGTTTCTTTCATTTCTCGCTCAGATCTCAACTTTGAGTCTTCGAACTGAAGCATTTGTTCGTTTAGGAGTTGTACCTGAACTTTCTGTTCTTCCAGATGAGTCTCTTTCCTTCATCAGCTCCACTTTTACTTCTTGTAATTTTTATTCGTCTTCGTCTTCGTCTTCCTCCGCTTATCCGGGTCCGGGTCGCGGGGGCAGCATCCCAATTAGGGAGCTCCAGGCCGTCCTCTCCCCGGCCTTGTCCACCAGCTCCTCCGGCAGGACCCCAAGGCGTTCCCGGACCAGATTGGAGATGTAACTTCTCCAACGTGTCTTGGGTCGACCCGGGGGCCTTCTGCCAGCAGGACATGCCCGAAACACCTCCCCGGGGAGGCGTCCAGGAGGCATCCTGACCAGATGCCCAAACCACCTCAACTGGCTCCTTTCGATCCGGAGGAGCAGCGGTTCTACTCCGAGTCCCTCCCGAATGTCCGAGCTCCTCACCCTATCTCTAAGGCTGAGCCCGGCCACCCTACGGAGGAAACTCATTTCGGCCGCTTGTATCCGCGATCTCGTTCTTTCGGTCATTACCCAAAGCTCATGACCATAGGTGAGGATTGGGACGTAGATCGACCGGTAAATCGAGAGCCTGGCTTTCTGGCTCAGTTCCCTCTTCCCCACGACAGATCGGCTCAGCGTCCGCATCACTGCAGACGCCGAACCAATCCGCCTGTCGATCTCCCGATCCCTCCTACCCTCACTCGTGAACAAGACCCCGAGATACTTAAACTCCTCCACTTGAGGTAGGACCTCTCCCCCGACCCGGAGGTGGCAAGCCACCCTTTTCCGGTCGAGAACCATGGTCTCAGATTTGGAGGTGCTGATCCTCATCCCAGCCGCTTCACATTCGGCCGCGAACCTACCCAGCAAGAGCTGAAGGTCAGAGCTGGATGAAGCTAGGAGGACCACATCATCCGCAAAAAGCAGAGACGAGATTCTCCTGCCACCAAACTCGACACACTCCACACCACGGCTGCGTCTAGAAATTCTGTCCATAAAAGTAATGAACAGAACTGGTGACAAAGGGCAGCCCTGGCGGAGTCCAACCCTCACCGGGAACAGGTCCGACTTACTACCGGCTAAGCGGACCAAACTCACGCTCCTCTGGTAAAGGGACTGAATGGCCCTTAACAGAAAGCCACCCACCCCATACTCCTGGAGCGTCCCCCACAGGGTGCCCCTGGGGACACGGTCATAAGCCTTCTCCAAATCCACAAAGCACATGTGGATTGGTTGGGCAAACTCCCATGCCCCCTCCATCACCCTTGCAAGGGTATAGAGCTGGTCCACAGTTCCACGGCCAGGACGAAAACCACATTGCTCCTCCTCTATCTGAGATTCAACTATCGATCGGACCCTCCTCTCCAGTACCTTGGCGTAGACCTTTCCAGGGAGGCTGAGGTGTGTGATCCCCCTATAGTTGGAACACACCCTCAGGTCACCCTTCTTAAAGATGGGGACCACCACCCCGGTCTGCCACTCCCTAGGAACTGCCCCCGATGACCACGCAATGTTGTAGAGACGTGTCAACCATGACAGCCCTTTCAACATCCATAGCCTTGAGATACCCAGGACGAACCTCATCCGCCCCCGGGGCTCCGCCGCTGTGTAGTTGTTTGACTACCTCAGCAACTTCTGCCCCCGAGATCGGACAGTCCATCCCCAGGTCTCCCAGCTCTGGTTCCTCCTCGGAATGCGCATTGGTGGGATTGAGGAGCTCCTCAAAGTATTCCTTCCACCGTCCGACTATA